GGTTAGGAGGATTTTTAAAAATCTCTTAATGAGGGTGAAAGAGGAGATCACCAAAAATGGTCTGAAAGTCAACAGCAAAAAAACTAAGATCATGGCCACTGGCCCCATCAACCCCTGGCAAATAGAAGGGGAAGATACGGAAACAGTGACTGATTTTACTTTTTTGGGCTCTTTGATCACTGCAGACGGTGACAGCAGCCATGAAATTAAAAGACACTTCTTGGGAGGAAAGCGATGAGAAACCTAGACAGCATCTTAAAAAGCAAAGACATCACCTTGCCGACAAAGGTCAGCATAGTCAAAGCTATGGTTTTTCCAGTAATGATGTATGGAAGTGAGAGCTGGGCCATGAAGAAGGCTGACCACCAAAGAAGTGATGCTTTTGAATTGTGGTGCTGGAGGAGACTCTTGAGAGTCCTCTGGACTGCAAGGAGGTCAAACCTATCCATTCTAAAGGAAATCAACCCTGAGGGCTCACTGCAAGGGGTGACCTGAAGCTGAGGCTTCAATACTTTGACCATCTCATGAGAAGAGAAGACTCCCTGGAAAAGACCCTGATGTTAGGAAAGTGTGAGGGCAAGAGGAGAAGGGGACGACGGAGAACGAGATGGTTGAATAGTGTCAATGAAGCCACCAACCATGAATTTGACCCACCTCCGGTAGGCAGCGGACAACAGGAAGGCTTGGTGTGCTCTAGTCCAAGGGGTCAGAAAGAATGGGACAGGACTTAATGACTAAACAAACAAGGAGTGAAAAAGCAGCATTCCTGGGATGACTTACTGCTTGTAAGCCTGTCTGAAGTTGAACCAATGAGAGACTGAAATAGAGAAATATTTAATCAGTGGAAATGTCCACTGCTGTGGACATTGTGTCTCTTACACTAACATGTTGGAAGACTACTGTGGATTCTCGATCAGCATAGATGCTTTTGCATGTCTGTTGTTCCAAAGGAACAATAACCAACCTAAATTCAAGCACTCATTGGGTCTTTTCTTGGTCCCTTTTCCTTAATCCTCTTGTTTTCCCATGCCGATTTGGATATCACTGGGCACTGGTTTTAAGCAAGACACCCCATCTTCCTGATCCTTATCTCCCTCGCTTCTGTGATAACACCTGTGAAGCACTTCCTCTTAAAATATCACAATGGAACCAATGACCGCAGGATGTGGTGACAACTCCAGTGATGGAGACCTTCAAGAGAAAATTCAACAACCCTCTGTCAGATCATTGATTTGGATTCCTGAGTTGAGCTGGGGGTTGGACTCGATGGCCTTATAGGTCCTCTCCAACTCCATTAGTCTAATGATTCTATGGTTACAAGGATCTATTAAGCATAAAGTTGGCACAAGAGGGCACTGTCTTAATCATTGGCCACTCAACAGCTTTATGATAATATGCCAGGCATAACAGTTCTTTGCTCCTTAATTTTGTCATTTGACCAAAGAACCTCCATTTTCTTTAGATGCCAAAAATTTGGAATACTCACCTATCTGTTTCATTCCATAGAATGTACACTTTGGCATCATGAAGTTTTATTTCTCTCTAGTCTTTTAATCTGTATTGGATGTTTTTGTTCTCTTTGGCGGTAATGCTTGGTTTCATTGTGCTATTTTAAAACGAAGACATTTTGAGCTATGAAACAAATGCATCTGTCTGGGTTTTTTATTGTTTCTTTTACAAAATTAATGTGTAGAACAAAGACCTCAGGAGGTGAGTGACTTTGATTGCACGGGAGCAATGGATCTGCTGTACATTTTCCAAAAAAAGAGAAAAAAAGTCCAGAAGTTGTTGTTCTCATAACATTCCTCAGTTGCTTCACCGCTAGATTTCTGTGCCCTCAGGTGGAGTTCCTGTTGTTCCACTCAGGTACCTGGACCCATCGGTGTAGACATCAACATGCAGAATGCAGGTGGGACTGAGAACCCAGCAAACCTCACCTGCTACTCAAAAAAGGACATCGCATGGAGGAGTTGTCCAAATCTCAATGGGGTTTGCAGAGTTCCTTCACAACCTAGGCCACAACTTCACACTTTTGTCTGAAGAAATGATACATAATCCATAAAAGCTTACCCTGAAAAAAAAAGTGTCATAATAGTAATAGTCTTAAAGACGGTATGATTCATTTTTTGGGTTTTGATGTTGGTAGAAGAGATAGAGAACCCCATTCAAAATCAAACAGTCTCTAATTGTAGTTTGTTTGGAATAAAGCAGAAGCATCTTGTGCTGGTAGAGGGAAAAATGCCTCAGCTGCACAGCTTGTGCTACGTATTTGCAGATGTGTCACACAACGTCATTTGGGAAGTCCATCGATTCAGGATTTCCCAAGAATAGATGCTTCTCCTCCCCCCCCCAAGAAAATGGAGATTGGGGGAGGGGACGGGAGAGGTGAAGGAAGAGGATTTGCAAGTGGCTGGATCAGGACAGAAGTACACATGCTCCGCCTCATATTCCAATATGTGCGTGTAAATGCAGAAAAGACCTCCTTTAATGGCAATCTTGTAGTACAGTAGTTGGAAAGAAATATGTGCTGATTTGGGGAACCAGACTAACCCAAATATGGGAGCTGGAGGGCAAAAGGAGGAGATAAATATGGAAGAAGTGTCATTAGTCACATTTTTGAAGGACAGATTTGGTCAGTTTGGGTTAAAAACAGAAGCTGTGGAACTTTTGACATTTGGTCAAGGTTTGTTCTTCTGTTGTTTACCTAGGTTTTTAAAAGATGTTCTTAGAGCAGTAGAACTCCACATGCATTGGTATTAATAGGGAAGATTAATTGATTGACAGATGACTGGGTGGAAGATGGACGGACGGAGGGACAGAAGGAAGGATAGTGACATAAAGTACCACTTCTCTCAAACTGGAATTCAGTGTGCCTTTGCTTACCAAATCAAGACAATGACTTTATCTGAGGCAATTACTTTTAATTGGTGGTCGCTTATCATGGAAGCCAGATTTGCAAAAGAATTACAACTTTTCATCCTGGTGGAATGTAGACAAGTCCCCCTCTCCAATTTAGAAACAAAATAAAATATCTAGCAAGTTTTATTCCCAAATCTCCAACTTATTAGAATCTAAATGTGGGAGATGTAGACGCTTCTCTTAGTGATTATTAAAATGATTATAATTTGTTCACCAGTCTAAAGCACTAGAGGATGTCAAGGATATTTTGAAAGAGAAGGAATAAGCAAGTCAGAAAAAGATTATAAAAATCCTCCTGCGGAATTGATGCTGGGAGTATTGGGTGAGGAAGAGATTGTGAGGGCTCTGTTGATTTAGTTTCTGTCAGTTATCCATCAGAGATCATCTCAGATACTGTTCAAAGTTTGCAATTCTTCTATTTGTTGGTAGTTGAAGAAAGGTCATTATAGCGCCTTTTCAGATGAGGTCTTGCTGTCCCTCGGTATCATTTATTACAGCCAAATTAAGCGAAGTCATTTGGATTCATAAGAGGAGAGTCTGTGTCTGAGCAGAGGCTTTGCTGCCAAACGAGTGGGTTTTTAGTCCTGGGATATCAGTTACTGTTCTGCTGTGTGCAAGGAAGGAAAGAGTATGAGTTGTTCTGTGAATGATCCCCTCCCAGTTCCTAATGAGTGGTACCAGCCTGGTGTCCTCCTCATCGGAGGGATTCTGACTCAAATCATTCACGCTTTCCATGGAATCTCTTTCAAAGACCAGCCTTCGCAGCACCTTTTTGATGTTGTAAAGTAAGTATTTGACCCTCTCCATATTCTTTCCATTTTTAAGCTAGACCAAAGCACACAAATGTATAGCAATAATATGATGCTAGTAATAATCAACAAATTCTGAAATCCAAAGTGGAGGAATAAGTTGATTAGGGAAGCTGAAGAGGTACAAATAGTTGCTCATTTAAATGTGTCGCTGATATGATTCATCAGAGTAAAGAAAACCAAAAATTTTCCTCCACCAATTCAATGAAAGGAAAACTGAAGTGACATTCCGAATTGAGAATGATTGGTTGCGTACGAAAAAATGCTTTTCTGTATTGCTATTGCTTGTGTTAGAACACCATTAGGATTCATATTTGTTGAAGAATGTATTAATGTATTCATTGTTATTCAATAATAATATTTCCTATATTATACTTTTCCTACCTTTCCAGAACAGCATGCCGTCGCTGCGATCATGCATTTCAAATAAACACACCTTCTTGTGTCACCTCTTTTATTTGCAAATTTTCACTTCCACTTTTCGTTCAAGCTGTTTGCATACATTCTATTTCATTCCAAAGGATGTACACTTTGCCATCATGAAGTTTTAGTTCTCTCTAGTCTTTTAATCTGTATTGGATTGGCATCGGGATGCAGGAATTTTTTTTACTAATGATATTGTGAAACCTATTACACAGATATCTTGGCAGTGTAACACCCAGTGAATGTTGTACTCAAAGCCTTTTTGAGGGCAGATTTCTAATTTTAGGATTCTCCCTGCCTCCCTTCCTTTCTCCCTCCATTCCTTTTTCTTCTCCTTATTATTTTTTTTGAGAACATTTGCAGTTCTGCCCAATTTCACAAGATTTGCCCAGGGAAGTGGATCCATGGATGATGCCATTTTGGGCAAGGTCTTAATCCTTCTGCAGAAGTTGATGCTTTCTTATAGGAGAAAAAATGATTATGGAAAAATGCCTTTCACAGAGAAGTCTGCAAAGAAGACTTAGATTGCTCTGCCTCTCATTTGTCAGATTCATTTAATTTCAGCTATGTGTGCACACTGAATATCAAGAAAAGGAACCATGTTCAAAGTACAGCAGAGAGCCTTAAGGCAGATTAGAACTACTGCTTTTATAACAGCATAGGCAGGATTCAGCACCACTGTATTCAATAGCCTATCAAACTAGATTTGCAACGGTTTGTCTTTTCAATGAAGGAAGAAAAGTCTAGTTTAAAAAGAATGCCAGTTCGTAAACTCTAGAAATGTTGTTGCAATATTAAAGTATCTGTCTTGACAGCCTGGTGCCAAAATTCTACCAGCATTCCCTGGCCATGGCCTTTGCCATCAATGAAATCAACAAGAATCCCCAAATCTTGCCAAACATCACCCTTGGTTTCCACATTTGTGACAGCTATTCTAATTCGTGGATGACCTATCGGACCACTCTCAACCTGCTCTCCAAAAGGCTGAGATTCGTTCCCAATTATGAGTGTGATGGAAAGAAAAATCTCCTAGCAGTCATTGGTGGACTGGGCACCGACACCTCTGTTCTTATGGCTGACGTCTTAGGTCTCTACAAAATTCCTCAGGTAGGATAAGATGCAGGTATAGTTAGGACAGCACACTCTTGTATGTCCTTTTCCCCCCTTTGTATTTTGAGTGGAAATTTATTCTTTCAGGAAGATTAGAAAATACAGGTGTAGAAATAAAATTGATTTTGAAGAAGAGGAGAAAATGTTGGAATAATTATTGAAATGTCTGAAATTCCAAATTATTACAATGATCGTTTTTTTTCTGTCCTGTCTTATAGTTCACTTATGGCTCTTTGGCTCCAGGGGAGATTCATACATCTCAGCATCCTTACTTGTACCACATGGTCCCCATTGAAGACCATCAATACATGGGGATAATCCGGTTGCTTCAGCATTTTAGATGGATATGGGTTGGGATGTTTGTGGTAGATAATGAGAGCGGGGAGCACTTTGTGCAGACAATGGAGCTACTCTTTTCTCAAAATGGAATATGCTCAGCTTTCGTACAAAGAATTCCACAACAACCTAATTTGGATGACTTGGATGAAACAATTGTTGAAGTCCTTCGGAAAATATATGTACCTTTAACTAATCAAAAAGCCAGTGCATGTATCGTCTACGGAGAGTCTTCGACAATGGCATGGCTAAGAACACTTATATTTCTTTATGATCAGGAAAATATTAGGTATTCCGAATACAGAAAAGTGTGGATAACAACGACTCAGTTTGATTTTATATTAACAGGATCACAAAAGTTTTGGGATCTTCAGATGTTTGAAGGTGCTATTGCCTTTATGATTCACAAAAAAGATCTTTTGAATTTTGGAGAATTTGTTCAGCCTATCAAACCTGGCTGGAATGAAAGAGATGGTTTCCTGAAAGATTTCTGGGAGCAAGCCTTTGACTGCTTCTTTGGAGAAACGGTTCCAGATAGTGAGAAATGTACTGGAGAGGAGAAACTGGCAAGCCTTCCTGAGCCTCTTTTTGACATGCATTTGACCGGACACAGCTATAGTATCTACAATGCCATCTATGTCCTGGCACATACTTTCCATGAAAAGTACACATCCAGATTGAGACAGAAAACCATGATTGAGAATCCAGATGTTGTACTTCAGCTTCTTCAGCCTTGGCAGGTGAGATCTGTAC